AGGTACGATTTTTGGCATCATCAGCAGCAAATAAATTACATTTCTTGTAATTTATTCATAGTGAAGACAATTGGCATATGTTTAACAGTTTGTTATTTGATGTATTAATAAGTTAGTTTTTTTATTGCCTCATACAACAAATAACAAACTGTCACGTGTATAATACGTAGAGTAACTAACGATAATTTTTCCTGTGAATAACGTTGTTCTTAAAAAAATAATTTTTGCTCCCAATAATAAAATATCGTGTTGTATATGTGGACAAGAAATTTCTGTGGATGATTGTATCTTTAAAGAAGTGAACACAAGCCATTTATTGCCAAAAATCTGCTAAGTTCAATGTCCTTTATTAGACCCACCAGCTTTCCGAATCAAGAAGTTAGGTACCGCGAGTCGTGGGGACTGATAAAAATAATAAAATTCCGTGCAAGATTGTATTTTGGGAAGATATTTTCCCTGCAAGTTGCAACTCTTTTATTTGTTTATTTAATCAGGCAACTTGCATGTCATAAATATAAAATATTGGTACACTAAAGTCATGTTTGTCATCTAACTTTAGTGCTTGCTCAAGCTCCATTTTAATGCGGTTTTGAGAAAAATGTATTTTGAACGTCATTTTTTGCACGTTATTAGAAGAAATATAGCCATTACAAAATGAAAATTGTGAGATAAAAGTAAAAAAGTACTAAATGGGGCCCATAAACAAGCATTTGGAATAATATTTTTTTGAAAAATGTATAATAAAAAAAATTTAATTTATCTGTGATATTATTTTATTAAAAAAAATGTGATTGAAAAGAAGAAACAGAGAGTTTTTTTCTAAATTAATCAGACTTTGTTATAATCTAAACACCTCATAGCATCCTCCTTCAAAAGTGATTAAGCTACTGTTTGATTTTGATAAAAATTAATCAAATGTGTGATTAAGAATTAACAAAAATTTCTATTACAATATACTAAAAATCTAATTTTAATCCCCACCAAACATCATCTTAGTATCGATCATGTTAACATACTTCAATTTTGATTAATCAAATAATCACACTTAATATAATTTCATTCAGATAAGCTCACTTTTACATGATTTCATTAGATAACTATATTTATACTTGGATTCAATTAAAGTAGATTCGTCCAATTTTACCAACAAATATGATATATGACATTCAACGATCATCACATGTAATTGTTAATTATTAATGTGAAATAAGTCCAATTTTAGTTAAATGAATGGCGATTGTCACTTCATCGATGACAGAATTAAATGAACTTACTCAATGAAATTATAATTATTCAATCAAATAAAAGTATAATTACGTGAAAAAAAAATTTGTTACGTATTCTGGCTGATAAGTGTGCGGCTGTTCCGTAAAGTAATCGCCCGCAAAATTGTCTCTCTCTTTTCAGGAGGCCACTTGATTCCCAGTGCCATCCAAACAAGCCTTTAATAAAATCCACAAAAGAAAAGGCTGCGCCTTCAGCTTTTCCGCTCGTGCTAAAATCTTGGAAATTGCCAATTGGTTCAGCAAACTTACCGATCAAAAGGTTCGGTACAGATTCCCTTTATTCTGGTCCCCTTTATCCGGTTCAACCAATGGTTGGAAATAATCGAATATGTAACTAGCAATAGTATTCATTTAAATTTTATCTATGACATTTCTATATTAATCAAGTGACTGTATGACTTAAAATTATTTGGTTATGCTAAATATTAAATTTGATGAAACGAAAAATTATGAATCAAATATAATTAGCACTTAAAATAATTATCGATTTTAACTTAAATTTTTATTAATATTTTACTCAAATCTTTTACGTAATATAAAAGTTTAAATTATTTACATTGAAAGGAAATAAAATCGAATTCAATCAAACACACACCACGAATACATGATGATTATGTCTAATAAAAGTTCCCACAACAGTTTTGTACATAACAAATTTGAGTAAGCAGCAGAGCAGATGGTTTAAATCTCAAGCCGCCCTGGCAAGAATATGGATCCCTTGAGGCATATCATCCGGGTCAATAAAGAATCCCCTCCTCACATAAGATCTAGGCACTGTTACTGTCAACACTCCATTTTCATACCCGGCAGAGATCCCATTAACATCAACCCCACCAGGAAGCCTGAATTTCCTACTGAAGCTCCGAATAGGCTCTGTCGATGCAGGCTCTGTTCTTATTATTAGGTATCTTGAATCCTCAACTTCCACTCGGATTTCCTCTTTCTTAACACCTGTTACAATCAAAGAAATCAACTCTCCAAATGAAATCTGGAACTAGTAGTTAATGTGTGTGTGTGTGTGTATAAAACGAACTATGGATTACCTGGGAGATTGGCAGAGTAGATTTGAGATTCGGGAGTTTCGGTCCAGTGGACGTGGTTTTGAGGGACGAAATGATAAGGAAATAGACGAGGAGAAGGCAAGAAAGAGTTCCAGTAAGAGGGATGGAGATTTGGGAGCTCCATTATTAAAGAAAGAAAGAAAATGGTAAAGATTGGCGGCCAAATTGGTAATGCTGCGCTGTATATATAAGGCAAAGTTTAGAGGTCGGGGGCAGATGCTCCATTAGTACTTGTTTGGTTGTAATAAAAAAACCTTCTAAGCTTAAAGTAATTTTCTTATCTGATTTAGAGTTGTTCAAAAATACATTTTGAAATAATGATTTAATAGAGAATCTGTAGTTAAAAAAAAAAAAAATTATGTGCAACATTATTTTATTAAAAAATATGTGATTGAAAATAAGAGAAGGAAAAATGTATATTGAAAATAAGAGGACAAACAATGACATAAATAAAAAAAAATAGATATCAATAAAATACGTGGTTATATTGTTACCACAATTTTTATTTGATATACTACATTTTAATTGTAATTAAATTGTTCAATCTTGTAGAAATTATTTTCTTAACTTTTTTCCGTCGAATTCTTATTTTCAACATTTTATTAATTAGTACGTCTCGTTCTTAATGATATCTAATTATTTCTTTCATGCTTTGAAATGACAAAAAATAAGTTATTTTACATCATTTCAACGGACTTTTGAACATAAAATTGTTATTAAATACAAAATACATTAACTAATAGTAAGTTTGATGATAATAACGACATGAAAGATTGTTAATAACATAAATACTATAGTGAGCAAATGCAAATAAAATGTGATGCAAGCAATAAAAATTGTTGATGAAATATAATTAGCCTACGGATGGTAACTGTTGACCCCAAAAAATGAGCTCAATAGAATCCCTACCACGTCCCCTCCACGTGGACATCACCTGCACACGGAGCACCCCGTTAGGAGGCAAAGGCCGCCGGTGGAGAAAAAGGTCCGGCGACCTTTTGCACTCCGACGGTCAAGTCAACGGTCGGACTAAAAATATAAAAAGAGTGTAAGAGACGGGAGAGAGGGGATTTGGTTAGATTTAGAGAATATACCTTAATTATGAAGTGGATTCACATATATATAAAAAATGGAAATGTAAATGGGTCACTGTTAATGGATCAAGTTTAGGCCCAGCTATCCTGCAAAGGCAGCTTGCTGCCTGCATTCAAAAAAAAAAAATTTTTTTTTTTTTTAATGGAGGTTTACCCGGGCCATGGGCCGGCCCGGGCTCGAGTCGACTCCCCAAAGTGGGGCTCGGCTTGAGCCTGGGCTCAGTTCCACCAAGCTCGAGTCGGGCCCGGCTCGGGCT